TTTATGATTTTATTTTATTTATATTTTATTTAAATAAAAAAATTAAATTATCAAATAAATAAAAAATTCAGGTTAAATGTTAAATCCCTTACCCTGTAAGCATGACATGGCAATATTTTGCCATCCAAGCAGCCAAGCGGGGTGTGTCCTCAACGGCAGTTAAGTTAGCTTAAGAAGAAGGGCTTAATTGCTTTGATAACAGAGTTTAAGGGCTTAACTGCATCAATTAAAGTCTAGGGGCTTAATAGTGATTCTAGGGTTGGTTCAGGGGCTTAACTTATGATTTTGCCTATATTAGATACCCCACTTCAAGTTCTCGACAATTTGCAGTACGTATCGAGATGAGTGTAATAAGATTTGCATCAGTAATATGAACTAAAGAAATTTGAAATTTGACTTCAATTCCACACCTATAACTGTACCATTATTTCTTATAGCATTTCAGGTTACTATTCTAAAATGAAGAAAACTCACCTGCCTGCCTTAGGTGGGACCTGGGAAGGGGAGTTGATAGATTCAGACATAGATAAATTTGACTAAGTTTGCAAAGCCGTGCAATTTGTATCGCTCGTTACCATTCACTAAATTTGAAATGTGATCTATAATCCGATCTAAAGGATAAGTTGGACAATTCAGACAACCCATAGAAGCCGGCCGTAAAGAGGACACCCCATTGACGTTCTCGAGTATGACCTTAGCAAGCTCTGTAACATTTGTATGAATTTAAGAAATTTGAAATTCGATTTCAAGTCCGCACACCAATTACTCCTTTTTTTTTTTATTCCACACCCCGATTGCTGCATCATCATAATTGTTTATTTTGGCAATTGTTGGAAAAAAATTTTTGTAGTCTCTATTTATCAGACTTTCCATCTCGGTTAAGTAAAAACCTAATTTTGAGTCTTATATTAATAAAAATATTTTAATTAAATTTATTATGTATGTATTAAGGTTTTTTTGATAAAATTCATAATATCTTTAATACAAATTTACATTGAGGATAATAGTTAAATTATCATTATTATTATTATTATTTGATTGTTGTTAAATTATCATTAATTAAATTTAAAAAATTATTTTTTATT